CAGGTTTAGGTTCAGGTTGGATGCAGCCAGCTGTTCCCTCTGCAGGAGCAAGCTCAACAGGCAGAGCCACCAGGGCTCAGGAGGACATATCAAAAAGTCTCACATTGAGGTTGGTGTCAGCTGAGCCCTCAGGGGTGAGACCAAGCACTTGATCCCCCTCACAGACTATAGCCTCCTAGGGAGACTCACTCCAAATGTCCCAGCTCTAAGCAGCACACTTTTTCCCCCACCAAGAACTAAGTTCAGCTCATTGGGGCCACAAAGACTTGGGAGGGCTGATTCAAATAGTCTCTCATTGGAGGTGTTGTTGGCATGCTTGTGGGGGGGCGCGGAGGCGGACAACTTCCCCTTTCCAGGTTAGCACAAGTCAAGCTTGCAGGAAAGATAGGAGATGGGCCAGCCTGAAGGGTTAACTCCTCCCACAAAAGCAACCCTCCCCCCAACCCCTGTGATGTATCCACACAATCCAGCATCTGCCTGTTTGATTCTCGGACAAAAGTCTCCCTGGGAAATGCTCTCAAGGTCCCAGCTCTGCACATTACTCTGGTCCCTCTGCAATACTGAACTCAGCAGGGTGGAGCCACAGAGAAGCAGGGCAGGCCCATTGATTCAACAGGTAGGAGAGGGCACACTGGCTGTGCACTGGAGGTGGGGAAGAATCGTCCCTTCTCCAACGCTCCAGAAAAAGAGCACCCTCAGAGTTCCTGCTGGGTGCAGCCAGCAGATCCCTCTGCAGGACCTCAGCATGGTAGGTTGGTATTGCCAGTGGCTGGAGGACCAGGCAGTATACTCCCAGGCTGGCGCTGTAACAGTAGGAGTGCTCAACATGGAGAAGGTGGTGTCTGGGTCTCTAGCAGTTTCCTTTCTCTCCCAGGAGGACTGAATCCCTACTGATTTTCTCCACCAGATGCTTTGTGGGACCCTCTTGCTGTTTCTCTCACTCTGGGTTTAGGCTCCCTGCATGGGGTTGAGAACCTCGCTCCTAGTGAGAGTTATCCCTCCAGCTCCTCAACCACCACAGTGTTTCTGGGGGTCAGCTCTTTCTACATCTCCCCCCTCCTTCCCAGTCTCTATGTGGCTTCTCCTGTATATCTTTGGTTATAATACTTCAGTTCAGCTAGCCTACAGTTGGTTATTCAGATTCATTGTTTTATAATTTAGATGTAAATTCAGTTTTGTGTCAGGAGTAGGTGAGTGTATCTTTCACCTGCTGACATCTTTGAATCTAAATTTTATTTTCAATGGATGAGAAATGTAGCAAATGTTTTATCACTTTTTCTTTAAAAAAACTATTTTTGTTTCTAATCTCAAATTGTTTGTTTGTTTTTTGCTGAATTTTCATATCCAGATCACCTTTCTCCAACTAGAATAGCTCTTCCTTTTTTCCTTTAATTTTTCCTCTCAAAATTCAGGCTGAGATTTTTGTTTGGAGGTAGGTCTTTCATGATAAACCTGGAATTATCAAAATGCCTCAGAGATGGTACATTGTATATATCACAGTGCACTAGACAGTCCTCTGACTACATAAATATTTAATAGTACTTCAAGATCTGTTCTTTTGGATGAGTTTACCTCACTTATCCATTTGTAGTCTCTTCAAAACACTAAAATGCTAGAAACAATTAAAAACATGAAGGGTTCATATCACACCAGCACAAGTACTTAAGTATGAATTTAATTTGTTAAACACGTATGGCATTCTGTTTTGATTAAAAATCGGTGTGAAGTAGTAGCTGAATCATTTACTGACTTATAATACTGAGTTTATGAGGACCATATTCCCAAGAACTTATTATGTTTAGGATCATGTTTTTTTAAATAGATATATCAACATATACAAGATACAGTTGTTATCATTTTGGGGAACTAAATTTCATTTGATTTGGTATCTTGATTTCTGGAAATCACTAGGAGATAAAAAATAATTACAAGTGGTTTCAATCTATTGCAGTATTAAAATGGTGACTCAGTAATTCTGAAGAGTAGGAACTGAGACTGTTCTATTCATGGTACAGTGCAATTACAACTAACACAAAACCTAACACTGTTTAACTTTCCTCATAGTAGTTTGATTTATCTTGATCCAAAATTCTCAGAGAGAAGGTTCATTGAAGTCATTGGAAAACATTGTCTTGAAATTAGGATAGATATTAAAAGCTTATCTGTGGGAAGTACTCTGGCTTATTCAACAGGTTACTGAGAAGCCTGGCAAAACAAATCCAGGAAAAGAATTAGTAAGTGCCAATTACATAAATAACAATAAGACTTTGTTAGGTATGAACCAGTAAGATTTGCTGGTGTTGAATGAAAAACGTGTCAAACATACTGCAATACCAGCAGTTCAATAATATGAGGAAACCAGAACAATAGCTAAAAATTTTAAAACTAAACAGAAGATTTACAAATTACCTCTGAATCTAGTCTCATCCCAACATAAAAACTGAGTGCTCCAAAAGTCAGTATTTGCTTTTTAAGGAAAGGGAACATGTCATTTATTCTAGTCATTAAAACTCTGATCAATAATAAAGAGGCCTAGACTTCATGGCACTATCAAAAATTCTTGGTATGACTTTAGAGAAAATCACTTCTTTCTATTGAATTTTCCTTCTCTTCCCTCCATACCTCACTTATACAAGGCATATACAGATTGGTTATACAAGCTTTACTGTTGAGTTTGAATAATCATGACATATCATGAGTGTGTTTGTACAACATGGGCTGATTCAGAAATGGAAATGTGTATATGAAACTTCCCAATATTCTAAAATTAAGAATAGATCTAGAAATTGAACAAATTAACTAAATCTATCTGTTGTCAGATCATCTAAATCAGTTTATTTATTAATCTGCCTTCTTTCCTCCTTCTATACCTCCTTCCCCCTTGCACCCTTCTTTCCATCCATCCATCCATCCACCCATCCTTCCATCTTTTCATCTTACTGTCTCTCTGTCAATCCAAACAAGTACTTGCTGAGCACTTTATGTGGACCAACCATTGTTCCAGGTGCTGAGAATTAAGGGGAAACAAGGTATACTGCTGTGCCCTTGAAAAATTTGTATTCTTGGGGTTAACACAAGCAATAATCAAGAAAAAATGTAAAAATAATTACTGATTGTGATTATCAGTATGAAGAACCTCAAAAGGGTGTTGCGTATAACATTTGGTTTATCTTATTTTCTTGATTGTCTCAGAGAATGTACATTTTAATTTTTTTACTTTAAATTTGTTATTTTTAAATTACAGTTAACATACAACATTATATTAACTTCACTTGTACAACCAGTGATTAGACATTATATAATTACTAAGTGATCATCCTGATCAATCTAGTACCCTTGTGACACCATAACATAGTTATTACGATATTGACTCTGTTCCCTGTGCTGTACTTTACATCCCTGTGACTATTCTGTAACTGCCAATTTGTACTTCTTAATCCTTTCACCTCTTTCATTCTTCCCCCCAACCCCTCTCCTCCAGCAACCATCAAAATGGAGAACATGCATTTTTAAAAGTCTCATTATAGAGCTCTCATGAAAGAAGGACATTGTGTCATTATTGTTTACCAGTTTATCCCAAAAACCTAGTTTATTACCAGGTTCCTAATAAGTAATTAATGACTTATTTTTATTAAAGATGGTTTTATGCTCTAAAGCAGCTGTCCCCAACCTTCCTGGCACCAGCGACTGGTTTTGTGGAAGACGGTTTTTCCATGGACGGGGGTGGTGGGATGGTTTCTGGATGACTCAAGTGCATTACATTCACCCTTACCTCCTGCTGTGTGGCCTGGTTGCTAATAGACCCGGACAGGTACCAGTCCATGGCCTGGAGGTTGGAGACCCCTGCTTTAAAGCATTTATTGTGTTTATGAGCTGATTCTGATTTACAAACTGTTATTGATATGTGGTAAGTATAGAAATTGAGAATAAGCATTTAGAAATTCATTTTTATTATCTGTTTATTAAGGCGCTGATTTGCAGTGGATTAGAAAGTAAAACACAAAACAAAACATAACTGTCCTTTACCACAGATAGTGCAAAAATCACTACAAAACTATCTGCTTAGATCTACTGTAAAAATGGCTAAATGGTTTTTAAAAATAGGAGTAATGAAAGGTGAAGAAAATGAACATTTATTCAGTGCCTCTAAATGTTAGGCAGTTTATTCATTAAATAACCACAGGAATGTTTGATCTCACTTAAAGCACCTTCATCCAACTGCTGGTTCTGAGTTGACCTCAGAATACAGAGTTTGCCTCTAAATCTCCTGTAGCACCTGCTCTTACATTGCTATGCACGGTGTTCTCACTACCATATTATGCTCTTATGGTCTTTAGGTAGTAATAACAGTTTTTTCTTTTCTTTAATATGGTTCTGCTTCCCAAAATTCCTTCTTTGTCAGTCAGCATGGATGTAAGAATTTGATTTCACAACTGTACAGTTCCTTATGTGTGAGGCGTAACCGGCCCGACCTGCCTTCTCTGGGATGTGTAGCTCACTGAACTAAGTCTTGTTTATTGCGAGGCCTGAACCCAATGCTCGCTTATTTATAAAGGACAGTACCTAAGTATTAGGACTGTTTCAGATTTGTTAATTTTCAAGCTCATGTTTATTTTTGTAACTAGAACAAGTTATAGGTCTCTTTCTGGCTTGAGCTCACTCTCAGAAATGATGCATGTTAAGACACCGTATCTTTGTTTTTCCTTGATATAAAGTGGGCATTTTCAACCTTTTTGTTATTACTGAAGGTCAGTGATAAATGAAGTCAGCATCAGGGATCTAACTTCTTATGGTCAGTTTCTGTGTTCTCTTCCAGATCAACATGGGTCAGAATAGAGAGTGCATGAAAATGTTTGAATAAATAAGTGAAAATCTTGCCCTGGTGGTGATTAAAAATTAAAACAGTTTCTGTGTTTTTTTAATTGAAATATAATACCAGATTACATTTATGGTAGGGTATTGTGTATCACAGGAGTAATGCCATCACTCTTATATTCTAGGTGGGCCTCTTCGGAAGAACTGGATCAGGGAAGAGTACTTTGTTATCAGCTCTTTTGAGACTGCTGAACACTGAAGGAGAAATTCAAATTGATGGTGTGTCTTGGGATTCAGTAACTTTGCAGCAATGGAGGAAAGCCTTTGGAGTTATACCACAGGTAAGCCTGAAAGACTTAACTAGGAAAAGAAGTAACTAATTACAATTTTACCATTATTTGATGCTTATACTTAAGAAATTCACATTTTTCTGAAATATATATTTGTTACATATTTCAGTCTATTTTGTGCAATAGAATCTTTTCATTAGGAGAAAAACTATCTCTAAAAGTTTAGAATTCTCTGACTTCCTGTTTTTGAAATATTAATAGTTTTGATAGCCTGTCCCAGAAGACACAATCTATAGTGAGAACATGGGGCTTTTGTTTTCATCAGCTTATTTTTTCCTGCTTCAGTGGTCTGAGTTCCAAGTTAGCAATCACAGCAGGTTGAGAAATGCTTTGCAAGATACAAAAGATGCTTTTGAAATAACAAACACTTGGAAGCATGAGGTAGTGGAATTGAAAATTAAAAGTATAATGATTGTTTTTTTGTTCTTTATACAAGAATGAATCATGTCAGATTAATCTGAAGCTATTTTTTTAATGTCATTCTTTGATTGGGTCACAAAGGATCTCTAGCCTCACTGGCTTAATATCATTCTGTGTTATTATGCAAGAGGGCTTCTTATGTATGAGAAAAATAGCAACAGTTCCATTTTAAAATGATCCAAATGGAAACGAATGAATGTCTTTAATGTGAGAAAATCTGAAAGACGTGTGCTATATATACTAGTATTTGCTATCATCTCTATGGATATAGTCACTGTTTTAATAATTATTTTGTCCTCTTTGTTCTCATGGGCATTAAATCCATTCCACCACCATGGTACTTACAATTACCTGCTTTTAACACAAAAGTAAAATTCTAAGAGTATCTCTCAGTAGGTTGACTATAAATCTAGCCTAATTTGCTCCTTTCAACTAATGAGGCACTAAATATTGTGACTGCTAGACTGATGCTTTTAATTCATTTGTCTAGACTTTGCTGTATTGCCAGACACTTAATCCTGGTTGAACTTGAAAAACAATATTGTTTCTTCAGAGAGAAAAAAGAGATTGTCAACTCTTTTAAAGATAAACTGTGGGACTACAAGTATCCCAAGGTGGTATCATTAGGCAAAATGACAATGTTGAAGAACACAGAATAGTATCTGGTTGTCTCATAAGAGTTGCTGTTCAGTTGACTTTAAGTTTCTGATCCCATTTTTTTAACTACAATTATGAAGCTTTTGTGTCCTTGTTGTTATTCACAAAAACCTGCCCTTTATAATAAGCAAAGTTCTAAATAAATAATTTCTGTTTCACCTGGAATCCTTTAGTTTATTTGCCATGTGATACAGAAGTTTTGGTTTTATCATGTGTTCTATTTAGGAACCCAAATATGCAAGACCTGGAGGAAAACCAAGTGGGCCAGAGTTACAAAAAATTCTTTTCTTACCTTTCTGCCAAAATGAATCTTCCATACTTCGTTTTATTTCATTTTCTCTCTTTTATGCCTTTAAGCTTTTATAAACTAAACAAGAAATACTTTGAGATATGCCTTTAAAAGTGCGTGATCATGCTAATGGAAAGGCTTCTGCTTGCACATATTTATGACCCTGGTTTCTGGGACTGTCTCTGAGTGCCACAAGAATGTCTATAGATAGAATGTGCTATTTCTTCTACAGTGACATCTTCAGACCATTCAGTGAATATCCAAGAAAAAGAGAAAGAGGGCAAACTCTTAAGAACATAGTTCTCCCAAAGATCTCTGATATTGAGGCATCAGAGATCTCTGGGTCAATTAGTCACTTGTTTTCAGACACATGAAACAGGAATTTCGAACAAGAAACTTTCCCTCTCCGTCAGTGATCCTGAGACACCAGCCATGGAATCACAAGATGTTATTGGTTTTGGCAAGTTCTTGCAGTATTGTTTTGTTTTGTTCTCTGTACTTCCCTCCTATAGCTAGCATGTAATCTTGGAGGATGCACCAGCCCAGGAAACAGGTTATAGTGCACATTTCAAGGTGGAGTCTTCCTTAATTTTTTCTACTTTACCTGTGAGCTCTGAGGGCATAGAGAGGAGAGAGTGAGGCCTAGCGGCAGAACCCCTTTGGCTTAGGCAGTTTGAACACTGAGACTTAAAATTGTTCCTTAGCCTTGAACTTTGTCAAGCACTTAATTAAAATAAACATAAAAATAACTTTAAAATGTATTTTCAAAGCTTTGATTACAAGTTTGAAAGATTACAAAGCTATTCTGAGGCAATGACTAGGCCTAATCTTGGAAAGAGACTTTCTGATCTGAAACTAATCCATGCCCACATATGACTTTGACCACAAAGTTGGAACATCTTTTGCTATAAAGGAAAGTAGATACGGCTAAAACATGTATCTGTAGATGTGAACGATGAAGTTGGGAACACAACAGTTCTCATTCAGTTTATCAGTACTTCACAGTTTAATAATTAGTTATTAAACTCCTTCTGTGTGCTTAAATAAGTACTATAGATTCAATAGTTAAATTAGTGGTATTGAGCTCCCAATCCAACCTATGAGCTTCCAATGAAAGGTTCAAAATTACATGCATTGCTGTAAGTCAAGGATCAAAGGGAGAAACAAAAATGATAAATTAAACATAAGTATTAGTATAGTCATGGGTCAAGACATGAGCTGGTCAGGAAAGTGCTGTGAGCAATTAGGGGATAATCCAGCCCCACCACATCACTGTATCCTTCCTTTCTTTTCTACTCACAGTGCTATGTTTTTCTCTTCTTCTTCTTGTTTGCATCTCTCCATTATGTGTTGCACACAAATTAAGCTTTTTAAGGCAGTATTCTGATTTTGTGATTTGCCTTTTGGGAACTCCTTTTTCACTGACTAGATTTAGATTCTTCCATTTGTGGTTAGATCCCTAACAGTCAGGTCCAAACCCAACCCTTCCGGACAGATCCACCACTCTCCTTACCTTGGCACTTTCATGTTTCAGTCCAGCTGGACTTACTGTGCCATGGAAGATACCTCATTTTTCTCTCTCATTTTTTCTGTTCATGCACTTTCTCTCACTGAAACAGTCTTCCTTCGCCATAATCACTATGCCATCACAAATGTTAAACCCTGCCAGATGGTCTTTTTTGACTCACTTTCTTACCCCCATTAACCCTTACTCTAACCCCAACACTCTACTCCCACACTCCAGTCCCAGATGAGATCTAGAATTATGCTAATGAATCTCTCCTGGCACTTCTCTATGTCTTGTCTTAGAATTTTCTGTGTGTTTGGCCCTGGCTGGTGTAGCTCAGTGGATTGAGTGCCAGCCTGTGAACCAAAGGGTCCCTGGTTCAATTTCTGGGAAGGGCACATGCCTGGGTTGTGGGCCAGGTCCCCAGGAGGGGGCGCTTGAGGAGCAACCACACATTGATGTTTCTCTTCCTTTCCTTCTCCCTCCCTTATCCTCTCTCTAAAAATAAATAAATAAAATCTTTAAAAAAATAATTATCTGTGTATTTCTTTAATTTTCACTCAGTATTGTAAATATTTTGCAGACATTTTAGTTAAAAAATCAGTATTTAAACACAATATCATCACCAGTCAAAGAAGACTGGCAGAAAGGCTAAATAAGTAAAACAGATTTTTTTACCTTTTTTCTGTCTCTTAATATAAAACACAATAACAGCTTTTATCATAGGAATTCAATATACATTCTTTTGTGCTGAGTCACTAAATGCTTATCTTTTTTGCAAGAAGCTATGGTTCTACTAGTATCCAGATTTTACTAGCTGTGTAATCTTAGGCGATTTATTTAATTTCTCTGAGCCTTACTTTCCTTGTCTATAAAATGGGTTTACTGGTAGTAACTCCTTAACTGGGTTTTTGTGCAGATTAAATAGATAAAGTAATAAGCAATATACTTAGTCTACTCCTTAGCATGTAGTTAATACAATACACTGGGTGGTGGTCGTAGTTATCATTCATAGTTCCTTAAAGACAAGAGATCATGTCTTCTTGTTTTTACTGAATTGGAGGTATATGCTGTTGGAATGAACAAGTAGGTATGGATAGTTCCCAAAAAAAGGTGATAATTAAAATGGTCCATAAAGTCTGTAGGTTTTACAGAAGTTTGGGGCAGGGAGTTGTGGAAAGGATATTCTAGGATCCCAGGCAGGGATTTTATGAGCAAATGCAGATATGGAAACTAGAAAAAGTTGAGGGGAAGAAGAGGCCATGTGTTAATATTTGGAGAAACAGGGAAAGGCTTGGCAAGTGAGGAATGGGTTGACTCTTTTGAGCTAGCAAGAGGTGGTGAAATGGTATTAGAAGGGTGTGCTGCTGCTGGCAGCATGGGGACAGTGGACTTCAGGTAGGCAGAATTGGGAGCAGGGAAATCAGTGGGAGCTGTACTGTGATGAAAGTAATGAGGTGGACAGTGGCAGTGGAGCCCCAAATTCAAGTGAGAAAAGAAAAATAACCAGTATGGTTATCAGTTACAATACAATATTAGTATTTCTGAGCCTAAAAATTTGACTTTGATAATTTAGTCAGAACTAGAAATCATTTTTTATGCTATCTCTGAAAAAGTGTATATTAAAAAGTTGTCTTATAAAAGGCTTTAAATGACTTTATAAGAAATAATAATTTGAACATATTACATGTAATCATTTACAAATTGTATGTACATTAACCTTATAAAATTATTCTCAATTTGTAATAAACTTTAAACATTTTTGACTAACAAATACTTTGTTCACTTTGTTCTCATTAGCAGATGTTCTTAAAAGCAAAGCAACACTTTTTAAACATTCTATATAATCATATATTTTCAAATTTATTTATTTCTTTTTAAAAATTTTTTCAAATACATTTGTCTCCATTTACCCGCCACCACTTTCCCCTGCCTCACCCACCTCCACTTCCCCACCTCAATCCTTCCCCACCTTGGCTTCCTCCATGTGTCCTTCACACCTGTTCTTTGAACTGACACTTCCTCTTCCCCTCCCCGCTATAGCCCTCCCTCCCTCCCATCCTTGTTGATTTCTTCTTTCTTTCAATGTTGCTGGTCATATTTTTCTTGCCTGTTTGC